TTTTGGCAATCGGGAAAAGTCGAGGGAAGAAGAGAAAGAGTTCTTCGAAGGGTACCAAGGTTAGGACCCTTGATGGCTCTTCTTCAAGTGGAACCAAGAAAGGTTTCGTCACTCCTTCTTCTGACCCAAAAGAGGCTGAATGCTTCTATTGCCATGAAAAATCACATTGGAAGCGGAACTGCCCAAAATACCAGCAAGATGTGAAGGATGGGAAAGTTAAACCCAACCATGCAGGTATTTACACTATCATTTCTAATAACTCACCCCATTCTAAATCTTGGGTCCTTGATACCGGTTGTGGTATTCACATTTGCTGTGACTTGTAGGGACTAAGAAGAAGTAAGAATGTGGAGCAAGGAAGAATAAACTTAATCATGGGGAATAGGAAAGTTACACCTGTCACCAAGATTGGAGTTTATACTTTATCGCTAAGTAGTGGGTTAAATTTAGATTTGAATAAATGTTGTTATTCGCCAGAAATGGCAAGAAATATTATTTCCTTTCATGCATTGTATAAACAAGGTTTCACCTTTTCATTTGATAATGAAGTTGGTTCGATTAATGCTTTCTTTAATAATGTTCTTTATTTTAAAGCATTACCTTGTGATGGTGTGTATGAAGCTGTATCTATTGTAGATAACTTAGGAAATAATGTTTTGTGTATTGATTATCCTAATAATAATAGCTTGGATAAAGCATCATTATGGCATTGTCGTCTTGGACATATAAGCAAGAAACGCATAGGCCAACTCCAAAAGGATGGAGTCTTGGAGTCGTTTGACCTAAAGTCAAATGATAGTTGCGAATCATGCTTACTTGGAAAAATGACAAAGTCACCCTTCACAGGATCGTGTGAGAGGGGTGAAGGTTTGTTGGACCTTGTACACACGGATGTGTGTGGACCATTCAAACATGCCACAAGGGATGCCAATCGTTATTATTTGACTTTCACTGATGATTACAGTAGATATGGATGTATCTACTTAATCAAGCATAAGTCAGAGACTTTCGAAAGGTTTAAGGAATTTAAACAGGAAGTCGAGAATCAATTGGGCAGGAACATTAAGATGCTTCGATCCGATTGAGGTGGTGAGTATCTTAGTTCAGAGTTCCTTGACTATCTAAGGGAATGTGGGATTGTCTCACAATTGACACCTCCCAGGACACCTCAGTTGAATGGTGTGGCTGAGAGGCGTAATCGAACCTTGTTAGACATGGTTCGTTCCATGATGAGTCGAGCTTCGCTACCAATCTCATTATGGGGGTATGCCTTAGAGACTGCCGCCCATATCCTTAATCTAGTCCCTACAAAGAAAGTTGCCAAAACTCCTCATGAGATGTGGACTGGTAAAGTACCCAAACTAGACCACATCAAGATTTGGGGTTGCGAGGCTTTCGTGAGACGCGAGACTCATGATAAGCTTGAACCTCGAAGCGAGAGGTGTATTTTCGTCGGCTACCCACAGCGATCCTTTGGTTACCTCTTCTACAGACCTAGTGATAATGTGGTCTTTATAGCAAGAAGAGGAGTCTTTCGAGAAAGAGAGTTTATAAGCCAAGGAGATAGTGGGAGGCAAATTGATCTTGAAGAAATTCAAGAGTCAAGTGGTGAAGGAACTTCGAACACTAGCCCTTAACTTGAGGAGGAAACTCCTGTTGAGCCAATTGACGAATCTGTACCTCTGAGGCGTTCCACGAGAGTTAGGAGTGCACCTGAGCATTACTATGGATTCCATATTACTGCAGAAGGTGAGAAACTTATTAGTGATGGGACACTAGTAGGTCAAGATGACCCTAACAACTACGAGGAAGCCATGGCAGGCCTCGAGTCTGCTAAATGGAAAGAGGCTATGGATAGCGAGATACAATCCATGTATGACAATCAAGTTTGGAACTTGGTTGAGAATGTACCAGGTCGTAAGACAGTAGGGTGCAAATGGATCTTCAAGAAGAAGACCGACATGGATGGTAATGTACACACTTATAAGGCTCGACTGGTCGCAAAGGGCTTCTCTCAAATTCCTGGAGTGGATTATGATGAGACATTTTCTCCAGTAGCCAAGATTAAGTCTATTAGGGTTATGTTAGCCATAGCTGCATTTCATGACTATGAAATTTGGCAAATGGATGTCAAAATCGCTTTCCTTAATGGAAAGTTGGCTGAAGATGTTTACATGAGTCAGCCAGAAGGTTTTGTCAGCAACGAGTACCCTAATAGAGTGTTTAAGCTTGAGAAATCCATTTATGGATTAAAGCAAGCACCTCGCAGATGGAATCTTTGCTTTGATGAAAAGGTCAAGGAATTTGGCTTTTCCAGGAGTGAAGATGAATCTTGTGTTTATGTCAAGGCTAGTGGGAGTATAGTTAGCTTTTTGGTATTGTATGTGGATGACATACTACTCATAGGAAACGACATCCCAACCCTGCAGGAAGTAAAGTCCTGGCTTGGGAAGTGTTTCGCTATGAAGGACCTTGGTGAAGTTGCCTGTATTCTAGGGATAAGGATCTTGAGAGATCGGAGTAAAAGACTAATTGGACTTAGTCAGAGTACCTACTTGGATAAGGTGCTGAAGAGATTCAGCATGCAGGACTCTAAGAAAGGAGAGTTACCTATCCAGAGTAACGCCAGATTGAGTAAGACACAAAGCCCTAGCACTGAGGCTGAGATAGCAGAAATGAGTCGAATACCTTATGCTTCGGCTGTAGGATTGATCATATATGCTATGACGTGTACTCGACTTGATGTAGCCTTTTCCCTGAGCATGGTTAGCAGGTATCAGGGGAACCTTGGCAAGGCACACTAGACTGCGGTAAAGAATATCCTCAAGTACCTATGGAGGACTAAGGATTGGGTCCTTACCCTCGGTGTGAGTGATGACTTGAGAGTTGTAGTGTATAGTGATGCTAGCTTCCAGACTGATAGGGATAATTTCCGCTCTCAGTCGGGCTGGGTCTTTACCCTAAACGGAGGAGCAGTTTCTTGGAAGAGTTCCAAGCAAGAGATAGTGGCTGATTTAACTTGTGAATCAGAGTATATTGCAGCAAGCGAGGCGGCAAAGGAGGATATATGGCTAAAGAACTTCATCGGAGACCTTAGAGTTGTACCAGCTATCAAAGAGCCAATGGAAATTGCTGTGATAGTGAAAGCGTTGTTGCCTTAGCCAAGGATCCAAGAGATCACGGGAGATCCAGACATATCGACAGAAAATACCATTTTATTAGACATCGAATAGAAGAAGGACTCCTCGTGGCAAAGAGGGTATCATCGGATGAGAACCCAGCAGACCCCCTCACGAAGGGACTGACACGGGTTAAGCATCTCCAACATGCTCGGAGCATAGGGCTGAAGGATGATATTAGATTTAGTAGTTATATAACCTCGAAATTTGTAAAGTGTAATTGACATTAGATGATGAATAAAAGGTGTTTTATTTATGAGTAAAGTGTTGCTATCTCTTGTCGATCGTTTACTATATTTCTTTTGCATGTTTTGACTTCCGGAATAATGTTGTTTGGTATAACATATTATTCAAACCTCCATAGTTGGTCATATGTCGGAAGTAGGTATGAATCAAGACTGTCATGATTGGTTGCAGAGGTCTACGGTGTTGGACAAGGCTACAACAATCATGAGTGCTCATAAGTTCTGAGCATTGGACTCAACCCACGCTCACTGGAATCACTTCATGGAATTCTATCTCGAGTGATCGTGAGACGGTAATATCATATAAGTCTTCAAACCTAGAGATATGATTTGTTACTTACAAGTTGGTTATGCATTGATTGTACGAAAACGCATTGGTAACTCGATGTTATAAAACGTGCTTTTGTGTATAATTCAATGAGTGGTAGAACAAACATATGAGTCGAAGTTTATCTGTTCCTTCTTGGATTAGAAGCTGATATATGGGCCCCTCGATGATTTTGTTTTGACCTATGCACCGGGCCCGGCCAGAACTAAGTTGATGTGTTCAATTAAGTTCTTTGTCAAACAAATCGGAAATCGGGAAACAAACTGCTAGACAATAAGTAAGACATTGTTCCATGTATTTGTCCGACTGATATCTAGAACAGAGGATTATATGATCACTTATCTTAAATGGCTTACCATCATCTTCTCAGTTCCGAGAAACCTTGAAAAGAGATACGATTGCCGATCGGTTCCTGAAGTCATACTTGCAGTAATAGTTATTAGACTTATCCAAGTGAGAGACTGTTGGATAAGGTGTCTAAGTCCATAACTATTTCTGGTATGTACTTGACCCGACCCGGCATTGTCCATTTGGGTTGCATGGCACCATGCAATTGGATAGACTAAATGAGAGAAATAACATTTGGAGATTATTAATATATTATAAGTTCTAATATATTAATAATATTATTTGATTAGTTTGATCAATAATTAATTTAGAATTAATTAAGTGATCAAAAGATAACTAATTAAATATATGGGTTGATTATGTAAATCATCCATATCTTGTATAGTGGGCTAAGAGGCTCCATGGATTATCAAGTTGGGCTCCACCCATAGGATGCTCCATGGATGCTCTATGGGAGTTACAAACCCATGGGTCATGGAAATGAAGAGTCATGACACATTAAGGTTTACATGGTGTAACCCTAGATGTGTCAACACTATATAAGAATCCTATTCTTCACCAAAATCGGCTACACATATGAAACAAGAGGGCTAGGCCGATTTCTAGAAGTGTGTATTCTCTCAAAAGTCTTTCCAAGAGCATTTGGTGTTGTGTGAAGCATTTGAGGCATCACACTTGGGGTGCTAGGCTCATAAGGTTTAAAGGAACATAAGCAACAACAAGGTAAGTTATTCTATCTTTCATTCAAGTTAAAAATTGTTCCCCATGTATGCTAGATAGGAATATAACCTTGGAATTCAACTTTGCATGATAATTAGACAAACATAGATCCAAGGTTATTAGGGTTGCATGTACACTTAGGAAGTGTTAGAATGCTCAAAACCCAACAATTATAAGGTGCAGGCTTCAACTAGGCGCAGTTCTGCATACTACTTGGATACTTTTTTCAAAATCAGTAAACTGTATTTGGTGCATGAAGCTCCAAATATGATATCCACCTTGATCATTTTACTAAGTGACACAGACTCTGCCACTGTATCGGTAATGTTTCATTTATCTTACTGTTTATTACCATTTTTTTAATATAAAACTTCATCATTTATATCATATATGATACATAACAGGCTGCCTGGGAAGCACTTTCTAGAGTTGTTGGTTCAGTCCCAAAAGAAGTTCTCCCATCATATATAAAATTAGTTTGTGATGCTGTATGCACATCTAGAGACAAGGAACGTAGAAAGAAGAAGGTTATATATATATATATATATATATATATATATATATATATATATATATATATATATATATATATATATATATATATATATATATATATATATTCACTGTATATTCAATAATAATTATTTCATGATTTTTCTTTGTTAATTAACTTAACAAAAATAAATATTTGTTGATGGACATATAGGGTGGACCAATTGTTATACCTGGGTTATGTCTCCCAAAGGCTCTTCAACCATCGCTTCCCATATACCTTCAAGGCCTAATAAGCGGGTCTGCAAAATTGAGAGAACATGTTGCTCAAGGTCTTGGAGAATTAATTGAAGTAACAAGTGTAAAAGCACTCAAGGAGTTTGTTATCCCTGTTACAGGGTAACTATCATTCCTAGGACTTTATTAGTCTCTTATTTAATTCTATTTTTCTTTTAGTTTTTAGTTTTGCTTGACTTGTGTTGTCTATTTTATGATGATTCCAGGCCTCTGATCTGAATTATAGGCGATCGATTCCCATGGCAAGTGAAAAGTGCTATTTTGTCAACTTTGACCATCATAATAGCAAAAGGTGGGATGGCTCTTAAACCTTTTCTCCCTCAGCTACAAACCACCTTTGTCAAATGCCTGCAGGACAACACAAGGTAAGATTTCCTTTTCTACTACCATCTTTTGTTTATTTGTATTCCTTTTTTTTTTTTTTTTTTTTTTTTTTTTCATGAGGGCATTCTCATCAAATTACACGACAGTTCGCTCTAGTGCTGCTCTCGCACTTGGTAAGCTTAGTGCACTAAGCACAAGAGTTGATCCCCTAGTTGGGGATCTTCTATCCAACCTACAGACATCAGAAGGTGGGGTCTGCGAGGCAATACTGGTCGCCCTAAAAGGCATTGTCAAGCATGCTGGAAAGAGTGTTAGTGGTCCTATTAAGACTCGTGTTTTCGATCTCTTACAGGAGTTGATATACAACGATGATGACCAAATACGAAACTCTTCATCAAAAATTCTAGGCATCATATTAGAGGTGAGGTTCATGTCACGTTATTTTAAAAAAAAAAAAAAAACTTCGTACAGTATATAATATTTATTATCCGCTAACTTTTATTCACTTAATTACAGTATTTGGAAGACGATCAAATTTCTGAATTACTAGACAAACTCCCGGAAAATGCTTCATCGCCTACTTGGACCACTAGGCATGGGTCACTTCTTACAATCTCATCCATGCTAAGACACATTCCTACTGTAATATCAGCATCTCCATCATTCACAGTAGTTACAGATTGCCTCAAAAATAGCTTGACCGATGAAAAGGTTTGGTCAACTTTCAGTCAATTTAGTGAAACATTAAAAAAAAACTTCCTGATAAATTTCTGATATAATTTAGAAAGCAGATTAAAATAGAGCTTTGAGAATTTAATATATGGCAACGTCCAATACTAAAATGTAGCCGCGATATTCATCCTTTATTGAGATTATATATATATATATATATATATATATATATATAATATATATATATATATATATATATATATATATATATATATATATATATATATAAAATTAATAAATATAAAAATTGTTTTTATCCATTTGATTTTCTCACATGTTTAATTAATTATACATGTAAAACTTAGAGATGACACCAGGAACCTTATCACATGAACTAAAAGAAGCTTTAGGCATTCCAGAAGGTGCTCATCCTCCATGGCTTATTAACATGCAAGTAAATAAATTATAAATAAACCTCTTTTTCCTTTTGTCTTTTAATTATTATTATTATTATTTGATGAATCATTTAATTTATAATATGCAGAGATATGACCCTCCACCTTCTTATCCATATTTAAAAATTCCTGGTTTGAATGCTCCTATTCCACTTGTAGCCAGCTTTGGTTATCATCCTGGAGGCTGGGGTAAGCCACATGTTTGAATCAGCACCCATGGATTATGTTTTCCATAAATCCCTTTGTTTGGATAATGGATATCAATCTTTTGTAAAATATCTTATTTGAATTTCATTTGATTGTCTGTCAGTTTTTTTGTATCCAGTTTTTATGTGATTTATCAAGTATCAAGGGAAGTATTCTTTATTTTAGTAGTTCTTTATTCCCTGTGTCTCACATATTCCTTTTTTCAGCTGAAAATGCAGACAAATGGTTGGAGAAACTGGATCATCCCAAAGTGGAAAGTTCACTATTTTCAACTGTTTAGATGAGGGTTCAGGAACATTAGCATGCATAGTAAAAGAAAGTGTGAAACTTTACACATACAACATCAGAACACTTCATGTTGAAGTTGCAAGAAACAAAGAAATCGAAGCATCAATTGTGGTTTAATTCAGATTCTGGGACAAAAAGAGTCCTAGGGGGATTTTTGGAATATTTAGTTTTTCTAACTTTTATGAGTTATTTTAGGAGTCTAACTCTTTTAGTATATTTTGGAATGTTTTGTATTAGGTAAGTGGCTTGGGAGTAGGAAGATACGATGTAATTGGGCTACAAAAAGTGTTGGTGTTAGTGATGAAAGACAAGGTTCAGATTCAAAAAGTGTTGTAGAGCTAACAAATGGATCTTCAGGTATGCAATACTCTAGGCATAATTATAATATAAAACTATAAAAAAATTCATTTTTTGATATATACTTTTTGTTTTGTTTTATAGAGAATACTAAAGAGCAAATCTTGCAGAGGATATTTTTTGTTTTGTTTTGCAGAGGATACCCCTCACATTTTCCCAAATTACCCCTTCCTTTATAATGTTTTTTTTTTTTTTTTTTTTTTTTTTTTTTTTTTTTTTTTGTTTATGTGTATTTTGTGCATCAGGTAAAGTTGATGGAAGAAAGGAATATGAAGCCACTTGATTCAAATCTTGCATTATTATCAGCAAGATGCAGTAAAGACTTGGAGTTGAATTTGGCTAAGTCATTCTTGAGTGAGATGGGCCAATGTACAACTGCTTATCCATATAATCAGTTTCTTGGAGCATTAGTCTTAAAGAGTTATGAAAGGCAAGATGCAACTTTACTTAGTTGGAATTTAATGTACTGACTAGATTAGATGCAAATTTAGATATCGTAAGCAATAGAATTGTATGACATTAAATTTTATGCAATGAATTGTATTTTTTGCATATGATATTTTACTTCTATTATGAGACATTAAATGCAAATTTAATTTAAAAATTAATAAATATATAAATATATTTTTTTAAACATTTAAATTTACGATACGCAAAAATATGTGTCATCTTCATTTATGACATGATCTTTCTTGACAGGGGTTTTCATGATACGCATTGCGTGTCATAAATGTGCATCATAAATGCGTGTCGTCTATAGACGACGCGCAAAAGCGTTTCGTCTCTCGTTATGTCAGGGCCTTCCTTGACGCGCATTTGCGCCTCGTCTAAGCATTTTACGACACGCATTGCGCGTCGTAAAAGGATGTTTTTCTAGTAGTGAAAGCTTGGTGCAAGGTGGTGGTTCAAGTAGAAGCTTTAAGATCTTGATTCTCTGCTTCATTTCAAGCACATCTTTGGTATAAAGTTCTAACTTTGCTTAATATTTTCTTAGATCTCTTATTTGGTTAAATTGTATGGTTTTAGTCATGGATGGGTGATTATTGGGGAAGTAGAAGTCACAAGTGCTTACTCGTTGAGATCTATGATCTTCATGAGTTCTTTTGGCATAAAGGTGCCAACTTTATGGTCTTAAGGGCTTCATGCATCTATTAAGCTCGTCTTTTAGTCTCTTTTGAGCTTTTGAGCCTCTCCTAGCCATGCATGAGTGTAAATTTGGAAGCTTTACGTGACCATGCAACCTTTAAGGACCAAATCTGTATTTTGGGGCTTTGTCTTGGTGGTTAAGTGATTATTGATTAAGCCATTAACTTTTTAAGCCTAGGATTTGGTTTTTGAGCCCACTTGGTTGGTTCCTAGGGGTAAAGTTGGAAAATTTACCCTTCTAGATGCTATTTAAGTGAAGATCTAAGTGGGGAAGCTGTTTGTTTCAATTATGTTGGCTTAATGGATTAAGTTGTTTGGTCTCAGGTGAACTCGACGAGTTGGATGGTCAACTCGGCGAGTTGTTTTGGCTTTCCCCGTTTCTGAGTTGGTGTGGGTTAACTTGGCGAGTTGATTAGACAACTTGGTGAGTTGAATCGGTTTCTTCCCGACTTTGCGGTTGTCAAATTGAAGGATAAACTCGGCAACTTGGGTCAACTTAGGCCGTTGACTTTGACTTTTGACGTATGTCTTTGACCTAGTTTGTCCTAAGGGGTGTTTGTGGTAATCTGAATTGTATTTAAGGAAAATATGGGCTTAGGATAAGGCCCATATCGGATTGGGCCCAATTTGGAAAATTAGGCCATTAGTGGGCCTTTGTAGATCTTTTAGTGTTGGGCCTTTTGGTTATTGGAATTGGGCCTCAGTTTTGGTTCGTTAGATCTTTTAGTGTTGGGCCTTTTGGTTATTGGAATTGGGCCTCAGTTTTGGTTCGTTTTGTGGTCAGGGGTAAAATGGTTAATTTTACCCCAAGTATGGATTATAAATCATAGTTTGGAACCTAATTACTAATTAGGTGATATTTCGGTATTGATAGCTTGGGAAGTCGTCGGGGCAGCAGCTAAGGATTTTTTTCAGTGAGCTTCTACATTCGAGATGAGTCTCCTCACTATTCTGTGGGTCGAAGGCACCAATGCCGGCCCATTTGGTTTATGTATTGTAGGAAGACTCGAGGGTTAGCCCTTGGAATTATGCATGAAAGACCAAGAGGCGACTCCTGGCACACTGTATGCAAGACCAAAGTTTGAACTCTAGCAGGTAATTACTTAAGTAGTGTAGATTGTATGGTAGTTGTCTTTGTTATGCTTGCATGGAAGACCCGAAGGTAGCTCCTGGCACTTGTCAGTAAGACCCAGGGTTGTGGCCCACAACTTGACAAGAAAGACCACGAGGCGGCTCGTGGCATAATGGTAAGACTATGGATGAGACATAACACCTTTATTGATTATGATATACGAATGTTATGTATGGCTCGCGGTTATGTATGACATGTATGGATCGTTTGATATGTATGGTATGTGGAATTTGGGGAACTCACTAAGCTTTGTGTTTATGGTTTTCAGTTTATGTTTCAGGTACTCCAGTTTTCAAATGAAAGAGCCTGGGATGATCGCAGCGCATACACCCGTGTTTTCCGCAATATGTGATCTTTAGGGAACGGACTTTGACGATTGTTGTGTTTGAAATACTTTTCAATGTTTTGAACAAAGTTGCGCTGGTTTTTTTATTATAATAAAAATGAAATTTTCCTTTGGATTTTTGGGGATGTTACAGAGAATATATATATATATATATATATATATATATATATATATATATATATATATATATATATATATATATATATATATATGAAGGGTTATGAGCATAACAAACAATCCTATGTGTGCATGCAACCCTAAATAATTTGATCTACGTTTTCTCTAATTGAACATACAAATTGAACAACAAATAGAAAACCCTAGAATGCTCCTATAATATTTGGAATCCATAAATAGGGGTAGAGTAATCATACCTCGATAACTATATAGTAATAGCAATTCGAATCCTTGTGTTATTAAAGCCTTAAGAGAAAGCGTCACAAATGGTACGCCTCTAATGGTTCACACCCAACACTAGCTATGGAAGGCGATTGAGAAAGAGGAGAGAGACTAGAAATTTCGGCCACGTCTTACTAAGAAATAGTTGGCCGAAAATCATAGGGTTATGCCCTATTTATAGTGTTGTCAGGAAACCCTAGATAAGCCCAAATCCAAGATTATCTTAAACTGGTTAATTATCTACTTTCCTGATTATCCATTAGGGATTATTCTAGAACCCTTAGGCTTGTCCAATCTTATGGATGGTTCTAGATTGCCTCTTGCTCAATTATTAAACAATTACAATTCAGTCCCTATACTTATAATTTATTATTTTACCCTATAGAATTAATTTCAATTCATTTCTGATTAAATATTAATTAAATATTACTATTTCTAATTAATATATTATTCTCATAATATATTAACAAATTATTATTTTAATTTATTATCAAATAATAAATCAACCTCATTCTCCAAAATCATTTGTCCAATTCCTAGTTTTGAGGGCAACCCAAAAAGATTGTGATGCTATCAATTTAAGTATATACCAATTATAGTTATGAGCTTAGACACCTAATCCAACTGTCTCCCACTTGGATAAGTCTAATAACTATAATTGCAAGTATATCCTCCAAAAACCGAGTAGCAAATTGTAGCTCTCAAAAGCCGCTGTCCAACTCCGACCCAGTCAGTTACGTGTCCTAAGATAAGTGATCAAATATTCCTCCGTTCTATAGGATATCGTAAGAACATGAGCCATGGATTATAATCAATCTCATTGTCGAAGTTTTTTTCCTGATTTCTGATTTATGGCAACTGAAATCAGACTACCAATTGAGCACATCAATTCAGTCCAGGCTTGGCCAAGCACTTTAGATGCCATCATCAAATCATCGAGGGGCCCACAGATATCGATTTTCTCGTTATGAAAAAAGAAACGGATAAACTTCAACTTATATGATTGTACTATTCACTCATCAAATCACGCATAACAATATGTTTTATAACATCAAGTTACTGATGCGTTTATGTGTTATCAATGCATAATAGACTTATAAACAACTCATATATCTCCGTTTCAAGAATATAAGATATTATCGTCTCGGAATTACTCGTGATAAAATCCATGAAGTAATTCTCTGAGCATGGGTTTATCCAATACTCAAAATCCCTATTTTCAGAGTACTCATGAACATTGTAGCAAAACTATTGCTGTGTCTAAAACTCTTTAGATAATCTACAATCCAATTCATGACAATCTTAATTCGCTACTTACTTCCAAAAGTATGAGTGATTGTGGATGTTTGAATAATTCAATTATCCGGGAAGTAAAGCATGAAAAGTGAAACAGAATAATAACCTAACTAACTATGGTCTCAAAACTACTGAATATAAATACAACTCTTATTATTTAATCACCATATTAATTAGACTTTATTCATTGTATAATGTTCCGAGTAATCAACTAAATACTTGAATTAAACATCAGTCATGCCATGTCATAAACATGCATACTATGTTTCTATATGGTCCTTCATTTGTGAATAAATCGATTGGACATTATTCCAATGATGCTCATTTCACAATTTCAAATTCTTGTTACTACTAAATGTGTTAAAATTCAACCTTTCATGAAATATCCTTTTGTGATGTCGAGGCTTCAAAGTCACAAAGACTTTGCCAACGATATTACAAAATGTTCCATCAGACGTTTGTTTCTTAAAACAATTCCATGGCAATGAAGTCTCAAATTCAAAGTACACTCCTTGAAGTTCCTTCCTTGTATTAAGGTTCATAACTCACATGTAGATTTCAATAGTCAACTCTTACTATGGAAACATTTCCATATTTCCATATGACCATCAGTTCTGGATAAGAATCACCTCCACCCATAATTATGTCAATATGGTTCGTCCATTATAATACTATACTTCTAACTGTCCACAAACAACCAATCTTTAGTAACCCTCAGACTGTTCTTGATAGCTGTTTAACAACTTTAGTAACACCATGTTCTAGTCCTTTTTCCCTCTCAATGCCCAAGGCATATGGAAAAATCAGAACAAGTATATATTATAGCATATAAAAATGATCCTATATCCGAAGCATATGGTACTCGATTCATTATGTTAAAGACTTGATATTTTTTCAGCCTCTTACTATAATATATTCATATATCGAATTTCCTATATTGAACCATTTCAACACGATATTCATA